GACAACACATATTTCACAATGATTTCACATTTCACATTTCACAATTAGTGTAAATAGAAATATAGAACAAGCTAAATATAAATGTGGCGAGGGGGGTGTGGTTTAGCGGAGTCTGCAGCGGTACAGAGAGGTCGGAGACGAGCGGTGAGTAAGTAGGTCAAGTGCAAAATGACATTCACCTGCTTCTCATTTCAGTGATTGGCCTGGAGAGACCGTAAAATGCCGCAGGGGAAACAGAGAGGGAGAAAGAGACGGACTGAGGACAAATAAGCAACCGCTGCTTCAAAAACAAGCCCAATTTTTTTTATGATTTATTATCATCAATATTATTTATTATCAATTATTTATTACAAATAAATGAGCCTGCAACATATTAAACTGAAACTACTCTTTTATCTAAAAAGTAAAAGCAGAAGTTATTTTACAAAAATCAAAGTGGGAACAATACACATCTCCAATCACCTGTGAGCAGAATAGGATTAGAGAGATGGAAAAGGAGAAGAACACAAGAGCTTTTAAAGGGGAGCTGTAACATAGTCACATCTACCAAACTGCAGCCTCCGGTTGTGCAGGAACATACTATTGCCTACTTCAGAGTAGGGTCTAAAGGCACTTGTGGCGAGGGGGGCGTTGGTTTAGCGGAGTCTGCAGCGGGAGAGAGCGGTCGGAGACGAGCGGTGAGTAAGTAGGTCAAGTGCAAAATGACATTCACCTGCTTCTCGTTTCAGTGATTGGCCTGGAGAGACCGTAAAAGGCCTCAGGGGGAACAGAGAGAGGGAGACAGACTGAGGACTCGTGGGGGAGAGACTGTGGCCTGGGCATAGAGAACCGCAGAAGTGCTATATAAGTTTTGTTTGTTTTGCAGCGCCAGGGCGCCTACTTGTATTCGCTGTTCCTACGGGACGCTTAATAAATTACCCGAGCCTCAGTCACGCTGACTCCGACTTCTTCCTTCCCTACTAAAGAACCTCATTACAATGAGTGTTCTAACTCGTCGGGGAAGCGTTGTCTCTTAATTGACAAGATATCTCATCAATGGTGGGGAAATAGTTCAAATATGTTTTAAATAGAAAGAATAAAGGCATAGTCACTTATGAGCTATGAACTATGACACAAGAGCTTCAAAGGGGAGCTGTAACATAGCCACATATTTATAGTCTACTAAAATAGAAGCTATTCGAACCATATTTACTCGTAGTATTAGTATAGGACTACTTGTTTTTTTTTTTTGCAGCCCGTGATAATTAATACGTTACAAAAACATTGTAAAAGTAAAAAAATAGGCCAAAAAAGTCATCCCACTCCTCTACGTCTACTTCTGTCATCGCTTGGATTACAGCGTCACGCGCCTTCTTTTTGAAGCAAAAACAGAAGCTATTTTACAAAAATCAGCAAACCGCAACAAAAATGGGAACGAAACTCATCTCCAATCACCTATGTGCAGAATAGGATTGGAGAGATGGAAAAGGAGAAAAACACAAGAGCTTCAAAGGGGGAGGAGGGGGCGGAACATTTCAACAGTATGTTCCTGCACAACCGGAGGCTGCAGTTTCAGGACCGCAGTTCTAGGACCGCAGTTCTAGGACCCTATGCTTTTGTAACAGCGCCACCTACCGAATTGGATCACTAAAGATGGACATCCAATTCGGTAGGTGGCGCTGTTACAAAAGCATAGGGTCCTAGAACGGCGGTCCTAGAACTGCGGTCCTGAAACTGCAGCCTCCGGTTGTGCGGGAACACCCTTCTCGAACATTTTGGCAAATTACGCTGCAGCGCTTATATTATTGCACTCACTGGTTGGCTATTAACTGCGAGCAGACAGAGTGTCATTCAATGCATTGGAGAATAAATAAAGAAACGAAGTTGCTCGTCAGATTTCCCTAACAAGCAACCATATTTTTTAAAATAAGCCCAAAAAACCGCAACCCGTGACCTGGGATTTTTTCATGCAACTTTACAAAAAAAGAAGCCCAAAGTCGCATATAATACGCGGACTTGGCAACTATGCTGGCAACCAACGTAAATAGGTGCATTACTGCAACCTTCTGCTCCGGAGTGTGGAACAGAGTTTTATATTCTATTTATCAGTCCCGTCTCTCTAATAAAATCAAAGAAGACTTTATTTATTTCACTTGACCGTTTTATTAAAACCTTTTCCTTCTATAATTTTTCCTATTTCTTGTTCGTATTTCCTACATTCAAGAAATAGGCCTAGGCCTACACAAGTTTTTGTTTCTTCAACATGATTGTGTTCACATAATTCATTTGGATGTTTCCCTATTATTTTGTGTGTGCTATTTCAATTTGAATGGCCTAACATTGTTCTGTTATAGATAACCCTACTCTGAAGGAGGAGCTAAATTAGTTCCCCCAAATGGAGTTCCTACAACTAAATACGTTCCTAATTCCTGCGGTGTGAACATGCCAAAAAGCGGGAACTTCCGCCAATAGTTCTAGTTCCTCCGGTGCGAAAGCACCGTACCAGTGATGTAAGTGTACCAGTGTTGCCAAGTCTGTGGTTTTCCAGTGGAATTGGACCCGTGGACCCTTTAACACTGTTGCTGCGGGTAATTTTTCATGTCCGCGGGTTGAAGCGACCCCAATAACGTGATATTTAGCCCCTAAAATGTGAATTTTACCAGGGGATCCCCACCAAAAAAACATGTATTTACCACCACCCCCCTCCCCCCGAACGCAATTTTTACCAGAGGACCCCCCCCCTCGAAATGCGATTGGGTTAGTTTTGGGCCTGAAGTGTACGCTGATTGGCCAAACACATACGAAACACCGGCTACCGGCATTTTTAAAAAGCCATGTAAACATATTTACTTCAAGAACATGGAAAACAGCGATACAGCATTTATCTGCTGTCTGCAGCATTGTGTTCTTTTCTCAGCCTCAATGATATGTAACACTGCAAGTTGTCACAGGAGATTTAGTCAGATTTCCATGCTCTTTCAGTCGCGTAAACTGTGCGTTTACATTCCATCTCCGTTATCACGAAACCCACAACACAAAAATAGCTCCTCTGATCACGGTGCCTTCCATTCACCGGTTGTTGACGTTTATGTGAATAAAGACGTCGCTGTCAGCCACTTCGGTGTTCACGCTGCCAGTGCGAATGTAACCAGCAAAATGGCCCAAGGGAGAAATTGGTTCTCAAGGAACCACCAGGAACTTGGTTCTGGCTGGTTCCCAGAACTAAGTTCCCAGAACTATGTGGTGCGAAAGCCCCTTGTATGCCACTCCTGGCACAAAAAATTCAAGCAGCTCAGCTTTGTTTGATGGCTTGTGACACTCCATCTTCCTCTTGATCACATTCCAGAGGTTTTCAATGGGGTTCAGGTCTGGAGATTGGTCTTGATCATCTGGTGGTTCTTCATCCACACCTTGTTTGACCTGGCTGTGTGGCATGGAGAATTGTACAAACAACACTCACTTGCTGATTTAACATACACATTCTTAATGTATTCCTTAAACTGTCCCAATTCATCAACAAAATTTTCGGATAAGTCACAACTGTATTTCTTTTGAAGGAATGTGGCAGATGAGTGCATTTGTTCAAATGTGTTGTCCAGTCTTTTGTAGGATTCACTTCTCTTGCTTACCTCTGTGACAAGTTTATCACAAATGTTCTACCTGACACTGCAATATCACAATCCAGTCCTGACGACTCATCCGCTTGTTTATTATTATGTTTATCATGATGTTGATGACATAAAGTTAATCATAGTAGTAATTCTTGACAGCTAATGCAATACGTTTAAGTGTTCATTATCAAAATTGTATTTTTGCATGCTTAACTGAAATTAAGGCATATTTTGCAAATCACAGCCATATTCATTCAACTGCACAACAGTACATTTTTTATGATACACTTAATTAGACAATGTGTGAATGCTAACTAATTATTGAGACCTCAACTATGTTATTACTAAGTTGAAAACAAGTCAATTAATCAACTAATAGCTACTGCTAGCATAATAAGAAGTGGTGGTGATTTCACCATAATGTGCATCATCGCTTAGGCCTGCTTTAATAAAATACAATAACACTGAAGACTGGAGTAATGGCTGCTGAAAATTCAAGTTTTTTAAAATTCACAGACTTTCACAAATGACTGTTTTTACTGTATTTTTATCAGATAAATGCAGTTATATTTAGATACTGGATATGATAAAGAGGTTTAGAATATGGTCAGAATAAGGCATTAATATGTGCTTTATAAGTACTAATAAACAGCCAATATTCAACTAGTTAATGTTGAATAGTGTTACTGTTCCCTAATCTAAAGTGTTACCATGTTTGCTTCTATAACTCGAACCAAATATAAGAGTAAGCTTCATTTTTCTTGCAATCAGGTTTATATGGAATAAACTGTGAGGTGAACATTGATGATTGTCCGAATCACCGCTGTCAGAATGGAGCCACATGCATGGATGGAGTGAACACTTACAACTGCCAGTGCCCACCTGAATGGACTGGTATGAAAACGGCTTTATATACTATGTGTGTGTGTGTGTGTGTGTTTGCTTCCTCTTGTTCTCTTTTCCGCTAGTTGAGATGACTCACAGATACTAATTCAATAACAAATAATTTTTGGAACTTGTTATTTTTAATGATTCAGATAAATCATTTCAAAGCTCTGTTTAATGTTTGAAAGCAAAGAAATGAAGACATCTCAGAATATTAGTATTGCATGTAAACTACCGTATTATTATTAAATGCTGGATTATTTTATTTTAGAGTACAATTGTATTTTTGCAATAGTAGTATATTTATTTTTTGCTATGTTAAATATTTATGTTTTAACAAAATAAAAATAATATTTTGAATTAAAATTAAATATCAAAATAATCACTATTTGATTTTTGGGTTAAATCATGCAGCCCTTGATTCACAAAAAATAGTTATTTTTAATGATTCAGTCAAACTGATTTATGTGTATTCACTGATTCAATGCAAAATTTGACAAGCTGAATGGCTTTTTTTGCAATTCCTTTCAATGTAGACTTCTCAGTGCTAGAAACCTTCTGTCAAACCTCCTTTAAATTGTCCTTTTGAAATTGTGACCCTTTTGTTTGCAGGTCAGTTTTGCACCGATGATGTGGATGAATGCAGACTGCAGCCCAACACCTGTCAGAACGGAGGCACGTGCAGTAACACGCGTAACGGCTACAACTGTGTATGTGTGAACGGCTGGAGCGGCCCTGACTGCTCTGAAAACATTGATGACTGTGCAGCTGAGCCCTGCACCCCCGGCTCCACTTGCATCGACCGCGTGGCTTCCTTCGTTTGCAGCTGCCCTCCCAGCAAGACTGGTCAGTAAAAACAACCACATGACCTAAAAATTACTCTTAAGACACTTGATCACTTCATTTATGAGCACATATGGCTCTTAAACAAAATCCCCACAACATACACAACAATTAAAAGTTTTACAAATAAATAATGCATCTCTATGAAGTATTTTATACTAATTTGAAATATAAATCACATAAATCTGTTAAGATTTATAATTGTATTGTTTTATTCAGTTTGTTAATTGTTTTTCATTATAATTTGATTGTTCTCTACAGTAGTACACTATAAAACCCTCTCAGATCAGTTGTAGTAACAGTAGTGATTTTTTCTGTTTTCAAGGTTTGCTGTGTCACATTGATGATGCCTGCACCCGTAACCCGTGCAAGATGGGAGCTCAATGTGACACAAACCCCGTCAATGGCAAGTTCATCTGTATCTGCCCCTCAGGATACAAGGGCAGCACGTGTGCCGAGGATATCGACGAGTGTGTCATCGGTGAGACAGTTTGCAGGACTTTTGTCTGTCTGTGTTTCTCAGTGTGTCTCTGTATTTATATTCATCTTTCCCTGCACACACATTACAGTGTTTTTTTATGCATTTCATATCTTGCCTAAAACTTTCTAACCCTCTTTTTTGACACCTCAGGGCCAAACCCGTGTGAGCACGGTGGTTCTTGTAAGAACACAGAGGGCTCGTTCACCTGTAACTGTGCTCCAGGTTACACCGGTCCACGCTGTGAGCAGGACATTAACGAATGTGGCTCCAACCCCTGCCAGAATGACGCCACCTGCTTGGACCAGATAGGAGATTACACCTGCATCTGTATGCCAGGTACTTACACACACACTCACACACACACTGTAATCAGGTGCGTGATGACATGGTTTTGGCTCCATGTCCTCATATTCATCTATTGACTGTGTATGTGTGTGTTTTCAACCATAGGCTTTGAGGGATTGCACTGTGAGATTGACATTAATGAGTGTGCCAGCTCGCCTTGTCTCAATAACGGTAGATGTCTAGACCAGTTTGTGTGTCTGTGTTTATGTCTCTGTATTTCTATACATCTTTCCCTACACACACATTACAGTGTTTTATGCATTTCATATTTTGCCTGAAACTTTTTCGGCACATCAGGGCCAAACCCATGTGAGCACGGTGGCTTGTGTAAGAACACAGCGGGCTCTTTTACTTGTAGCTGTGCTCCGGGTTACACCGGTCCACGCTGTGAGACATCAATAAATGTGATTCCGACCCCTGCCAGAATGAAACCAACCTGCCTGGACCAGATAGATTTCACCTGCTCCTGTATGCCAGGTACTTACACACTCACTCACACACACTGTAATCAGGTGCATGATATGGAAGCAAATTGGTCTCAAACAGAATTTATGCAAAAGTTATGATGCACACATGCGTGGCCAAATTCACATGCATGAAATCTAATTTACGTGCTCAAAACAATTCACACACAATGATTTACAAATTCAGATTCAATAATAAACTCAGAATTTGTAAACATTCAATACAAAATTGTACAGTTGTACATCTGTGAATTGTTTTGCTTTTGTGAAACGTATTTTATAAATGGCCTTTTATTTTGCAGACAAGAATAGCTTTTTGTGAATAGATTTTTTTTTGCATGTGAATTGTTTGTATTTTTTATTTTTTTTGTGTGTGTATGTGAAATAGGTTTCATGCATTTGAATTTGGCAGTGCGTATGTTTTGCACATACATGATGTTTTGGTTCCACGTTCTATTTAGTTAGTTACTGTGTGTGTGTGTGTTTGTGAATACACACCAGTAAACTGAGGACCACCATGACAGTTTAGGACATGATGTCCTCATTTGTTTGACTTTATAATAGCATTTAGTATGGAATAGTTTCCACATTTAAATTCTCACTTTGTCCTTAAAATCTACCTTAAAAAGTACTAAAAGTGTAAGCACCCCACACCCACCCATTAAATTTGAGATAAATTTACAAGAATTAGTCTTTAAATAAAAGTATATTAATATGTGCTGAGTAGCAGAAGTTCTCACAATTTATATTCACTGTGCTGTGCATTTCTAACTTTGAATCTTATATTCACAGTTTTGCAGTCTTGGTGTAAAGATAATGCTGCAGCCACTCCGCCAAGAGATACTTAAAGGATCTGAGGATCCTCAAATGAAAACCGTGTGTGTTTTGCTTCAAAAGAGCAACAAAACATTTGTATTGTGTTTTACTTTCTTTCTTTTATATTCATTAATTCATTCATTTATAATCATTTATCATTTAATCATTTTATTATTCTATTTAATAATATAATCCTTTATAATAATCATTATAGCCATTTATATACTCATTTCATTGATTTATTAATTGATTAGTCATTTATATTGTATCATTATAGTTTATATTATTTTTGTTATTTAGTCTTATGATGTGTGGTTTCAAGGGATGTTTGTCTTCAAGAATAAGATAAGAGGAAATGTTTATGGAAATTTAAGGTTTATGGGACAATATTGTGAGGCAGTAATTTTCTATTGGTATTGCTTGTGGTATAATAACGCTTATTGGATTTGTTCTGGTCATTGAAACATACTCAACTAAGACTATTCAATAAACCCTGCTCCTTTTTATTATCATTACTTCACCTTCTGCTTCTTGTCTGGCTTTACTCAGTCAACTTCTTGGCTGATAGAAGACTGTTAATATGGTTTTGGGTACCAGAAAAGACTTGCTGTTAACGGGTTTGAGGTATTAGACCATTTTGCTGACTAGGTGTCCTGTTACCAGACAAAACGGATTGTGACAGGATCTGGCGTGGATGATCTAATATACTCAAATGGAGGGAAAAGTGCAGTAACTTCTTTAACTACGCTGAAAAAACAGACGATAAGATTAGTTTGTTAGATGATAAGTTATTTCAAGATGGATGTTCAAAATTAATGCAGTTGAATCCTCATCCCCTTCCATATGATCCGCTGGCTGTTTTGTAACAACTACACAGACACGTGCAGAACTGCCTTGAGTTAAAAAAAAAAGTTGTTTTCAAGAGACCTATGATTAATTATTGTAACCATTTTATACTTTTAAATATTTTAAACATTCGTTGAAACGGTGAAACATTGCATTAGGTGAGTGTTGAACGCCAAAATATTATTCTGAACAATTTTTATAAATAATATCTTATTGCTGGATTTTATATTTTTTCCTGAGCATCTTAGACACAACAGAAAAAACAATATTCAGAAGTGATCATTGTTTTTATGCCCTAACCACTCCGAAGGATGTCCTCTTCACAAGGACAGTCTTGGATAGTGAATGGCTCAAAAGAAGGGGGTCACTCAGAACACACTTTAGAAACATTCGGTTCAATCAACGTGGATGCCATGATGTTCTTCCCTTGGAAGGTCATCACTACGCCATTTGGGACGCAGACCAGGTGTCAGTGTGGCAGGTGAGTGTTTTTTTTTTCTTTCTTTCTTTCTTTCTTTCTTTCGTTAACTGCTGTGCTTTAGAATCTTAGAATTTAGACTAATCGAATCTACATTTACTGTTCAAATGTTTTGTAGGCAGGGGCGGACTGGGACAAAAATTCAGCCCTGGCACATTACCACACCGACACAGCCCCACCCATGGACACACGCATTCACTACTTACATTTGTGTACAGATGGTGAAATAATATAAGCAGTACCATATATGTAACAGATATTTAAACATTTAATGTATGTATCTGGCAAACAGTGCTTACTACTTTTTAAAGAGCACACGTTTATAACAAATTTACACATACAGTAAAAACAAAAGAAAAAGAATCTGAGGATGTTGTAGAGTCTGTGTGCTGTCTGTTTATGCCATTTGTCTGCTGTTACTGTCATTCTCTACAGTATGTTGTTCTTTGTTGTCACTGTCTGTCTGTTGGGTTTTTCCTACCTCTACCACACTCCTCCCTGTCTCTGCTAGGCCTACCGTAGCATCCTTCCTCACAGCACTGGTATTGGAAGACCAGGGGTCTCTGGCTGTACTGATTCCAGCAACATCCTAGTTAATGAACAAAGTATAGGACAGGGTTCCTCAATAGGCGGCCCGCGAGTCACATCCGGCCCGTGAGAGAAAAATGTTTGGCCCGCGCTAATTTCAAATAATGTGGCATGAAAATACAAACGCAGCTTCAGAAAGCGACATTAACTTACATCGTGTCTACACCGGACGCGAGCGGCGCGGCGTGACGTGACGTGACGTGACACAACAAAATACAATAGAATCCATTATAATCAGTGATGCTGTCTACACTGGATGCAGCGCGGCGCAACAAATCCCCGACAGTAAACTGCTGACTCATTCTATTTATGACGTACTGACACAACGTTCAAATGATTTGCAATGCTTTGTTGCGCCCAGTGTAGATACGATGTGACAGAATTGCCAGATGGCCAATTCGCCCGTTTGTAGGCATATATGGGATTACAGTGTAATCATATATGGGATATCATATCACACTACCAAAGTGTAAAGTGTAAAAAAATTAAAGCACTAATAATAGTTATTTTTCATGGTTTAGAATTATAATCATTATAATTTGATTTTATTTTACTTGCGAAACCCTGTTTAAATGTAGGGCTTTACATCCATCTAGTGGTTATACTATGGCATTACATTTTATTTGTTTCAACCACATAGCGCATTAATTAACATTTTATTTATTTGTTATAGTTTTTTTGTGTGTGTTTTATATAGAAATAAATGGTGTAAAATCTAAATGTGAATAATAAGTGCTGCGAATTCTCCTCAAGCTACAAAATATTCAAGAAAAATGTTATTGAACTACAGAATAGCCTACTACATCCATTTTACATTTGCTCAGCCCATGGGCGGCCCCATGCATAGCACCCCCACAGATTTTTTTCTTCTTCCTGGAATCAATTATATACATGCTGTAGCCTATTGTATTTAATAATTAAGATGATAATAAAAAAAGAAAGAAACAAACAAACAAACAAAAACATTTGACTCCTTATGCATGCATAACTCGTGCAATGCAATAACGACGTGATTTGCAGCTGTTGCACTTTTCGTAATGTCATTATAGCATTTAATTTTAAAAATGGAGAGCTTCCTTGTGCTAAGTAGGTCTGTCCCCGAATAAAGATTTTTCTAGTCAAACATGCAAAGATTTCTAGGGAAACATGCAAGCACTGTCACCGGCAGCAAGTTTAGTTTTTGTTAATAAAGGTTTTGTAAGCTAGTTTGTCATTGTATCTTACTGTTTTATTGTTGTTGTGCTTTTTAATTAAAAATAACAATGAATCCATCTTTTGTTTTAGTCTTAAAAAGTGAAAGGTGTATATATGTAAGCAAAACAGACAAGTAGGCCTATCTTTTATTGTAAAACTTGACAAGATCGCGAAATCGAAAGTGAAAGCATCCGAAGCCCGGCCTATAACACAGCAAGAGAGGAACTCCGTTCACAAAATTAAAATCACAAATAATGCTACTGATGAAAATGAATGGGTTGAATGTTAACCACTTTCGTGTCCATATAATAAACTATGATAAAAGTTCATTAGCATGCATCGATTAATCCCATGTTGTAGCAAAAAAAACAAAAAAAAGTGCTGTGACCAACTGAGAAAGTTAGTTGCAAAAGAGCGACCAGTGGGAAGAATGAGTCTGGAGCCCTGAATTGCCCAGCTCCCCCTGTCAATGATGTAGCACGTTCAAAATTCTCTGGCGCCGCCCCTGGCTCAGCCTCAAAATGACATACAATCTAAATTGAATCTACATCAGACAAATGCATTTAGAAGATATGAGATTTTTCCTATTCCCCTTTTTTCTCATTATTTAGACCTTTGCCACGGCAACACTGTTTCAGGTATTCAAATGTAGCATCCGGTTGGTCAGAGCTGACTTTGAATTAGAAAGTTGTCCGGCTTGTGGTGGCTGTGAGGTGTGGGATGTGCGGAGGGAAGAGGGGCTCTTGACTTGAGAAAGCTTCTTAAAGACGGTTGGAATATTGAAATATTTTAATATTTCAAAAATGTACCAAAAATACATAAAATCATGTTTCCAAAATCCAAGTCATGTATGATGCGTGTCAGGATTGAGTGAAGATCTTACAACTGGAATGACGTCATCGGGTCACATGACCAGAAAGTTTAATAGATTTGTATGATGGAAAAATTCATTAAAATTAGACCAATTGTTATTTTCGCAATCCGACTCGTGTATGATGGACAGGAAATGCAGGTGAACAAAGTAGACCAGTTATGATGTCATCAGGTCACATGATCAGGAAGTTCTATTGATTTGTATATTTGGAAAAAGCAATAAAAATGCACAAAAACATATTTCCAAAATCCAAGTCATGTATGATGTGTGGCAGATGTGTGTGAACATATTACAATTGGTGTGACATCAACGGGTCACATGAGCAGGAAGTTTAATAGATTTGAAAATGTCAAAAATTCATAACAAATGCACAAAATATATATATTTTTAAAATCTAAGTTGTGTATTATATGCTGCATTTATGTATAAAAACATTGTAGGTGATTTGAGCTCTTTAGATAAAACAACCACAAAGTTAAATAGATTTATTTCATTAAGACATTCAGTTTACTTACATATTTATAACAGAGATATTAATCATATAAAAGTTAAAAACTGTCTTAATCTATACCTCATCTATTTGCTAACATAAACTACACATGAAAAAGGATCACGTTTTTAATATTTTGTATGAAATAATGCACATATTTAACCAGATTTTTTTGTGGATTTTGCACTTTTGAGACACTCCCTAACTTGACGTGCCCAAGCGGGGATCGTTGTGAGCCTAAACTGGGATTCGAACAATTACATCATCGAATAATATTATTATTAATTTGGATATTATGCTTTTAAATGTGATCTGAACGAGATATAGCATGATCCATGACTATTATGCGATTACATATAAATTAATGCTGATGAAAAGATCGAATGTCTGACGAATGTCCAATATAAAACCAACTTTACCGCGATAGAAAAACATACATCGTTATCTGTGGTCCTGCCTTTTGCACAGTTGCAGATATGATACATGACCTGGCTTCCAACAGCTTTCTCTTTCAGTGTTTACCTTCATTAGTGTTTGACATGCATTGAAGAATTAAACCCACAGTAACCAACCAGACGCCCATGTAGGCTACCAACATGGATGAGGCTAAAATGCTTATCAGAAGAGAGTTTGTTCAGCTCACCAAACCTACAGAC